GACCGGCGGGGCGTGCGGCCCTCGCTGGGCGGTCTCTCGGGCTGTCCCCGGGCCTGGCGGGCCTCTATCCCACCTCCCGCCCGGCAGCAAGCGCCGCCCGCCGCGCCCCGCCGGGTCCCCGGAGCCGCGCTCGCCTCAGGCGGGTGTCAGTGCCGAAGGGCCGGCTGCGCATGCGCCAAAGGAGCCGCCGCGGGCGGGGGAGGTGGGCGGGCCCTTGGTGGGCGTGGCCGCGGGCGGGCCCTTTGGTGGGCGGGCCCTTTGGTGGGCGGGGCCAGCGGTGGGCGGGGCATCCTCTCCTCTGTGTTTCCTTCCTGTCTTCTCTTCCTTTCTTTCCTTCTTTTCTTTTTTTCCTTCTTCCCTTTTTTCTTTCGTTACTTTCCTTTCCTTTTCTTCCTTTTTCTCTTTCTTTCCTTCTTTCTTTTCTTCCTGTTTTCTTTTTTCCTTCTTTCTTTTTTCCCTTTTTTTCTTCTTTCTTTTCTTTTTTCCTTCTTTCTTCTCTTTTTCCTTCTTTCTTTTTTCTTTCTTTTCCTTTTTCCTTCCTCCTTCTCTTTTTCCTTCTTTTTTATTTCTTTTCTTTTTTCTTTCTTTCTTTTCTTTTTTCCTTCTTTTCTTTCTTTTCTTTGTTTTTTGCTTTTCTTCTTTCTTTTGTTTCTTCTCTTCCCTTTTCTTTTCTTCCTTTTTTTCTTTAATTCCTTCTTTCTTTTCTTCCTTTTTTGTTTTTCTTTCCTTCTTTCTTTTTTCTTTCTTTTATTTTTTCCTTCTTTCTTTTTTCTTTATTTTTTCCCCTTCTTTCTTTTCTTTTTTCCTTCTTTCTTGTTTCTTTATTCTTTCCCTTCTTTTCTTTTTTCCTTCTTTCTTTTCTTTGTATTTTTCTTTCTTTTCTTTTTTCTTTCTTTGGTTTCTTTCCTTCCCTTTTCTTTTCTTCCTTTTTCTCTTTCTTTCCTCCTGTCTTTTCTTCCTTTTTTCTTTTTCTTTCCTTCTTTCTTTTTTCTTTTCTTTTTCTTCTTTCTTTTTCTTCTCTCGCTCTTCCTTCTCTCTTCTTTCTTTTTTTTTTTTTTTTTTTTTTTTTGACAGAGTCCTCGCTTTTTGTTTGCCCCGGGCCTAAGAAAGGTCCATCGGGCGTCCCAAGCCCTAGCTAAC